CCAGATCTGAAATTGTGCAGCTGCAGCAGGAACCAGTATTTCAGGGACGTGTAACTCCAACAAGATTAGTACTAGGGTCAAGACAGAAAAAAAACCCATCTCTTTTAGAGAAAAAAATAGAGAGTATATGTTAAAATGGTCCTTGTTTTTCAACACATTCTTCTTTCTGGTATGTTCTCTACAGCCTATTATTGAGACATACTGCTTGAGAGAAAAGGAAACTTGAGGGAGCTAGAGAGATTCTGACTGACAGCAGTATGTTCAAAAAGCTTTCTTTCAAAGGAAGCTCATAAAATATGTAGCCCAGCTGTTCTTTCCTTTCTAATCAGACTTCCTGATACAATGAAAGTTCATCCAGAATGACACTTCCTCATTCATGTGATGATAATGAAAGTTCATCCAGAATGACACTTCCTCATTCATGTGGTACTTCTGTCAAGAAAAGGGAAAAAGAAAATAATGGGAAAAGAAGATCAATTTCATCTATTTCAGCTGAACTGTGCAGGTGAATTTGGTAGGAGATTATATTAAACTGAAATCTGTGAAATTCTGGGCTCTTCAACAAAACCTCTTTTAAATAGCAAATATTTGTTTAAGACTGCCTTGTGTTACTGATGCAGCTAATTAGCTAACTGTGGCTGTGCCACAAAATCTGGCACTTCTATCTCCTTAAAACATAAATAACTGTATCACTGTCCTCACAGTGTGATTTTGTGCCACGTGCCCTATGTCATAGAGAGTACAGCACTGCAGCACCTTCACCTGCAAGCATCAGACAATGACTGCCAGTTTGCTGGCCAGATTGGTTGTCCTGATGGCAAAGGGTTTGCAGAACATGCTGGGTATGCAGAACATGCTATGTTTATTTGTCTATTTGAGCACCACCTTGCTGACAGCTACAGCGAGATATTCAGGGCAATTAGAATGGTGTTATTAATGGTAATCAAGGACTGACATCGCCTCCTGCTCAGCCCATGTTATTCAATATAAAGAGAAGCTCAATTAGTTCTGCATTCAGGGTTTGGGTTCATAGAAGTTGTGGCAGCAGCAATTAATTGGGGCTTCTCAATTTGGTAGGTTAAAAAAAAAGAGGCATTTGGGTAGTTTTCATTTTTAATAAGAGCACATTTTCCTCTTAGGGTCGGGAGCGTGAAGTGTTCTAGCTCATGTTACAAAAATAATGATGTAGGGGGTCATCTGAGATATATAGGGATGAGGGGGAAAAAAGGAAAAGAAAGACAGACAGCTACAGGCCTGCTGTTGACATATGATGGTCCTTTGCCGTGCAGCCATCACTAAAATGCCAGGTTGCTAAATACCTTGGAAAAGAAAACAACATACTAAAAAAGAATAATTTATTGTTTTGGATGGTGAAACAAAACTCTTTCCTAGATCAGGCATTTTAAATAACTGTTTTGATATTCAGGCAGTACCAAGCAGGGGAGACAGCTTGTCAGTGCCTCCTTTCTAAAGCACTCATTTCTTAAAAAATACTGTGTTTCTTGACAGTTAAAAGGAAAAACCTTTAAATCAGCTTCTCTGTTTTTGAAATGAAGATCAGCAAAAATCAAAACTAAACAAACAAGATGTTTCAACTATTTCCAAGTCCTATTTATACTTCTTCCTAGCAAAAAACCAGTTTATCTTCCAAAGGAAAATCCAGGAAAGCCTGTGTCAGGAATCATCTTATTTTAAACCTGGTACTGCTAATGAGGCTGTTTTGTTGGCTCACAGGCTGAACAGTGAAGGTGCATCAATTTTAAGAGTCAGGAAGGTAGCGTCATTTCCAACTGCTTTCTGGCTAGCACACTGAGGAGCATAGCCTCAGTAATCTTTTTTCTTCCCATAGAGAACACTCAGTTTCTGGTGGTATTTGCACACCCAGAGGCAAAGTAATCTGCAGGGACATGTCTCATTGTACCACATTTCCCCATTTCCCAGAATGGGCAGATGACCTGAGTTGCTAATTTATAGTGATCCAAATGAAGTACTGCAGAACAGACTTGGAAGAGAAATTCTCAGCACCTTACTCCATGAAATCAATGAGCTATTTGCAGAGTAAGAGGATGGGCAGAGAAACAAGTTTCTGTCAGGTCAATTGCTCCATCAGCTAAACTGCTTGGAGAAGGAATCAGCATGAGCTTGCTGATGGACTCTGACCCAGCGCACTCCAAGCAAATTGGTTGAATGCCCATCCTATATCAAACTGGTTTTGGAGTGACTCACATACTTATTTAGAAACACAGTATCTTCTTTAATTCATTGACACTGGTGTTCAGATCAGCACTGTCGCAGTCAATAGGTTACACAAGGATGAGAAAGGAATCAGGCGAGCAGTATTCCACAATGAAAGTGATGGCTAAGACTAAACCAATACAGCATCCCACACAAAAGGCTGCTCAAGAAAGTATTTTTAGTAGCTTGCAAATCTGCCACTGTTGAGGCACCTGTTGAACAGCCTGTTTTATGGTAGATCAGATCTGTCTCTAAAGGCCAAGTCTGACAGGATGGCTGCTAATGCCAAGCCAAGAAATGGAAATCTGCAGGGCTGTTTCTACTTCTCATAGACTGATGATCTTTCTGAAACCTAATACAGAACACACTGTATTGATGTTTGGGGATTGCCTGCTAAGACTGTATGCTGCCTATTTGTAAAAACTTCTTACAGTAACTGTTTCTCCTTGCTAAGCATGTTATATTGTATTTTGGTGTGATGAGTGTAGTAAGATGCAAAGCACAGCATTATGAAATAGTGGCATCCATTAAAAAAATCAGTCCAGCTACTGGCAAACAAAAAAGAACAGAGAAGCCTGAACAGGACAGACTAAGAGAGTTGGGCTTGTTCAGCCTAGAGAAGAGAAAGCTCTAGAGCAGCTTCCAGTGTCTAAAGGGGCCAACAAGAAATCTGGAGAGGGGCTTCTGATAAGGCCCTGTAGGGACAGGACAAGGAGGAATGGCTTTAACCTGACAGAGGGGAGATTGAGATGAGACATTAGGAAGAAATTCTTCCCTGTGAGGGTGCTGAGGCCCTGGCACAGGGTGCCCAGAGAAGCTGTGGCTGCCCCATCCCTGGCAGTGTTCAAGGCCAGGTTGGACACAGGGGCTTGGAGCAACCTGGTCCAGTGGAAGTTGTCCCTGCCTGTGGCAGGGGGTTGGAACTGGATGAGCTTTAAGGTCCTTTCCAACCCAAACTACTCTATGATTAAATCCAAATGCATTTCTATTTTATCACAGTATTCCAGTGAAATGTTTGACAAAGAGAAGAGGTTCTTCAGGTTGCTAGTGTGCTTTTGTAACAACTATCACTCCTGCAGCTTCCATCAGTCCTTGCTTGCCCACAGAAAACTAAAGAGAAGTGTAGCTTTCATTGCAGATTGGAGTATGAGATGATAGGGAAAAGAAGAAAAGACAGTAAGAATTGCAAAGGGCTAGCCGAATTCTTGGGTCAGCCAAATGACTGAGCTTGAGTGTATGAGCCTTATCTAAATATTTCCTAGGATCCGAGTTCAGTCCTTTAGCAAGCAGGTGGTATTATTTCCCATCTCTTCAGGTGCACCAGCGTTGCCCTGAGCAGCACCAGGCAACCCCCTAAGAAGAAAATGAGTTTGCTCTGTCTCCAGTTTCTTTTCCACCAAATAATTATGACGGCTGCCAAGTGAAGTTCTAACATCCGGGGATCACACCTTATTTTTTTTCCTTGGAAATATCTGCAATCTGCTCCTTACTCTGAGTCCCAAGGAAAGAAGGGACTCAGAACCATCCCTGTGTACTTACTGTGGAAATCCCAAGAGAGCTGGTACCACTGACTTTCCTGCTGTCTAATCCCCACCTAATCTAAGCCTTAACCTGCATTTCATCCACCATTCTTAAATCTAAGCATTTAAAAGTACACAAATGAAGAAGAATCTAAGTGAATGATCTAAAAGCATGGATGTAAAACAGGTCAAAAGAAAGTCTGTAAGCTGGCAGGGAAATATGAGGCACTTGACTCATTATTTATTGTCATCTGAGTCTTACTGAACCCTTCTGTTATTTTTTGTATCTATTATTACATTATTCTGTATTTTATTTCTATATGTTATTTCTATTATTTCATAGATGACATTTAACTTAACATGATGGTATTACAACTACATATAGCCTAGACTTACAAAATACGAGAATTTCTTGTTTGAGCTAACCTGAGGATTTGAGAAATTGGGAAGTGGGGAAGAAGACTTGTGATTATTTCTATCTGCCTCCTTCTATTATATCAAATGAAATATTCCTTTGTACTAGAAATTTGTGCCTGCAAAGTGACCCCCACTATTTCTGGTTCTGGGCTATTTTCTGTACCCCACATTGTGATGTCCAAAATTTCTTCCTGGTTTTGAATTTTGGAAAGAAATTAGTATAATTTATGGTGAGCCAGAAGTACAGCTTGCAGCCAGGGAAGAGGGCAGTGGAAACAGTAAGCCAGTAAGAAAAACCCCCATCTTTGGTGTGATTGTTGCCTGAAGCTTCACTGGCATTACTAATTTCTGACAAGCAGAAAGTTTAAATCCAGAGGGCATCCCAAATAACTATCACCATATTTCTTCTGTTGCTGCTACAGCTGCATGACATTGCACTGCACTAGGATAGCACAAAACAGAACTAAGCAGAAGTCTGTTCTACCTGGGCATTAAAATCTATTGCTAACCAGATGCCCACTGGTTGTCACGGAGGTGGAATTCTGAGCTCATTCTCTCTCCCTCATGAGCATTGCTATGGATCAGCCAAATCCATCACTCCTACAACAGAATGACCCTTTGAGAGAGGACGTTCTGCATCCTCAGTGACATGCCAGCACTGGGGCTGGCAGAGGACATGGGGGCACTGCAGTTTGCGCAAAGGTTTTTACCACCAGTGGATGAAAAGTGGTGTACATCATTCCCAAAATAAAACAAGAACTTTAGAAAATGTTTGGTTTTCATCTGACCTACAGAAAGCAAGCAAGCTGAAATACAAACCAAATCAGCTATTTTCGTTATGAATATTTTCTACGCTAGGCTTTTTATCGCAATCAAGTCACCATCTGTGAGAAAACACGTATGTTGAAGTTTTGGAATATCCACCAGAAGGGAAATCTTCCTTTTCATTCAGCGCCAAGTCACTGTAACTTACAGTGAGGAAGTAATTTTGTATCTGCATCAACTACAGTCATGGAATTCAGAAATCTTCCCTGCTGAATTGACACAAAAGATGTAACTTACACAGTATAGCTGTTCAAAGGAACTGTTTTCCTGAGTTGGCATTTCCTGGTAGGAATTTGCAACTGCTACTTTCTAACATCCACAATACTACTATGTATTACACGAGCCCATCCCCGATGCACTCTAGTAATGTAAGTGTATCAGCTTTTGCACACATTTATCCAGCTGTCATTTACACAAACAACATTGAGGGACCCAGCCCTGGTTTGGCATAGAAAATACTGCTTGTGATTTTTTTTCCCCCATTTTTTTTCTTGCTTGTTCCTAACAAATAAGAAAGTCAAAGAACAATTAAAGCACAGGCCAGAACAAAAATAACCTCACAGTAAGCAAGTGTGCTTGAGCAACATAAATGATAATTCATTTTACAAGTAGAGATTAAAAGAGCTTGGCTTGTTCAGCTTCTCAAAACAACAGCTTAGAGGGGATATGACTGTCCCCTATAAATATATTTGGGTATGTAAACATGAAGGGAGAGAAAGATTACTTAAGCAACCAGTAAAATATTGGCACAACGACAAATGAGTACAAACGAGCCATGAATTAATTATGGGTAGAAATTAGAATACATACCTGAAAGCAGAACCACCTGTCCTTTCAGGATGATTTATTCAAAAATGAGGGGCCCAGTTGCTCCATATTCAGCCTGAAAAGGAGTATACTGGTCTTATGACTCCTACCAAAGTACATGTGTGGGAATGCATGAATATGTGTGCATTCAAGATGTACCTCGTAACATAAACATCCTGACATGTATCCCGTAACATAAACATCCTGTAACATTTACTAGAGACTATAAAGGTTTACTTCATTCTGCTTCTGAAAAGAACAAAATTAAGTGAGCATCCTTATGACATCCATTTTTTATAGAACTGATTTTAGATTCTGTGGGATCAGGCTCTTATTAACCTTCTCGAAGTGGAAAAGGATGAACAAGGAGCCTGCCAATGGATTTACGTATCACCAAAACCTCATTCTATCCACACGCTCCCCCAAAACTGAGCTCACTCCCCAGAGAGGAAAACATGCTCTGATCCTAAAAACAAGATAGTTAAGATCTTATTGTGGCACATCTAAGAATTTCTAGAGACATTATGCGTCCCCAGCGTAGTGCAAGTCCTTATTTCCCCTACCGTGAAGCACGTTTGAGCTAGGAATTGGTGGGGAGGGTTAAAACAAGTATTTCTTAAGCTTGATTCTTTATTCCCACCCACTTGTAAACTGTCTGTAAATGGATTTTAAAAATGACTGAGCTCATATTACACTTCAAATTATTCACAAACATGTCCAATAAATAATTCTCATTCTGCAGACTGTTTGTAAAATGCATATTTATCTGGGATTGAAAATTCATGCTATGCAGCTAATTAGCCTTCACACAGGGCTTACACAGGCCTGAAGGGTGCTGAGGGCTTCTGCTAGCTTGCAGCACAGGATGCATTCCCCCTAACTGCATTTACATCTCTAAATTTCTTGGACCGTTCTATCTGGAAATCAATCCCCCTCCACCCCCTCCACTTCTGGCTTCCTGCTTGGATCTCCATACAGTATTTGTTTGTTTTGATCAAGTATGTCCTAGAATAATGAAATGCACTCATCCCTCTTCCCTAAGTTCAAGCACGCTCAAAACTGTATCTCAAATTCAGTTTAGAAACACGTTAGCCAGCAAAATAAGAGTATAAATAAAATACATCTTCCACTCAGACTTCTTGTTAGATGTTCATCTTTGAATTTTGTCCAATGATTGGGGTTTTCTCTATACCTAACCACTCTTAGCTTATGTTTTTTCTTTTTGCGTGTACTGTGTGTTGGTTAACATTTAAACATCTTCAAATGCAGAGACTTAGCCACTATTTTGCATGACTGTTACTCTTCCAAGACACATTTATGGATAATACTACACTAGGTTATAATGATAAGATAGATAACTTATGAAGAATGAAGGAAATTTGTTCAGCTCCATAATCTCACAAATCACTCATGACCTTCAGATGAAGATTCTAATTTCTGCCTGCTAGAAGACAATACACATCATATACTAATGATTTTTGATTCATCTCTCATAATTTTTGTAAGTATTTAGAAAATTCATTTATCAACATATTTTATTTTTCAAGATGATGCAAATACTTTCAATTGTCAAAGCACTGTTAAACCAATTTTGGCTCAATACTTTTCAGGAGTGTTGGATGGTCTTCGAGTGGAAAGCTCTGGGACCTTAGATCTTCTGGATGTGTTATACTTTCAGTGTGCCAGTACTGTGAAAATTTGGCTGATAATGCTGGAACACATCTCCACTGCACTGGACTCTGTGCAAGCTTTAAAATACTGACCAATATTTATAAGTACGTGTGCTCAGTTGTGCATACAAAGATGAACCCTTAGTGTTCAGAGAAATCAGAGGTTCTGTCAAATAGCCATGTGCTCTTCTAACTGAACTAACAAAAGGTATCAAAATTAAAAGAAATTAAAGTAGTTTTCAGATCAAGTGAGCCAACATCACAACACACTGCTATCAAAACCCAACTCTGTATGACCATATAAACTGAGAAAGCTGTAGGTGTATCTAGATTTAGGAACACCTTTTCAGCAGAGCATGTGGTACAGTTGAAGATGTCCTTGCTCACTGTAAGGGGAGTGGACTAGATGGCCTCTGAAGGTCCCTTCCAACCTGAACTATTTCATGACTCTACTGATATTGATAGAAGTACTGGGCTCCCTGCAGAAAATGATTTTTCAAGACAGAGCAGCTGACTAGCACACCCTATGTAGTCCCACCTTCCATTAAATACCCCCTTTTAATGGTGGCACTTTAAGGAATAAGTCACAAAGTAGAAGCTTAGATCCCCTGAACAATGTAATTACTGACAAAAGGCAATGTAGGTAGGTAGTGTCCAGACCCCACAACATTTTATTTCTGAGCTAATGAAAGCTGCAATTCGTTACTTAGTTAAACCTGATTAATGACCTATCAAATTAGAGATGCTATACACTGCATCAATGTCACAACCAACTTATTTGGATCCCTTACCTATTAAATCAAACCTATAACTGAGCAAATCACTTCACTAGTGAAAAGCATTCCCCGATCAACTGCACCAAGATGCTAATTAGCACTGTCATCCAGCCATGGACTTCACTGCATTGAGCTCATGGAGGACAGCTATGACAGTGCCTTATGGATGGATGAGTTACTTCAGTGTAAGTATGCTCTTCCTATAAACATGCTCCATAAATATGCACCATTTGGTATAACTAAGTACCATGCCTATGCTAGCCTCTGGAAATAAAATGAAACTCCATCAATGACTACTCAGATCATGAGATTATGGATTATGAACCCCAGGAAATCCTCGGTTTGAATACAGAACACATCGTCACAAGGTATCAGAGAGAGCTGTAAAATGCATTTCTACAGATTAAGCTCTCTTCCGTATAGCGCATGTTCTGAGTGTGATGCAGAAAGACACTAAACAAGCTGGGTGAGGTAGAGGAGTCAATATTCCTTTTGCACAAACACAGCCTGCACAGAACTTCATAGCAGTTGTCCTTGGAAGTCAAGCTCTAGAAGAACGATTTCCAGGATTAAATAGTTAGGTGCAATATTAATACTGCAGGCTTTGTCTGATTCTTAATTTTTTATATGGGTCCACAGACAGGCAATTAAGTTAAATTAGGTAGTATCAGAAGGGATGCTGTAGAAGATTTTTCATCTGGTAATTTAGAACTAGCAGCAGTAGTATCCAGTCAAGTTTATTTCAATGTATGGGCCTATTCAGTCTTCTGCTCAGAAGGAAGAGCAAACATGGAACTGATCAGACTTTTTCAATATTATATTTCTTCTTTTCATTTTTCATCACTTGCTTCCAAATGTCGGGCCACAAACATAGCTGAAATGAATGGCAGAAGCAGTGAAATTCCCAGATTGTTAAGTCTCATCAAGATCTGAGTATCCTGGATATTGGTAGAATTTCTTTCCCTTTTTTAATGAGCTTCTTATAGTCTACAAGTAGGGATCTTTTTTGATCGAATTCGTATTTCTTCGAATAAGTGAATTCTCCTGGCTACAAGAATATGTCCTATTATTTGAAATGCACTTGACTTTCCTTCAAAACTACATATCATTTCAGAAGGAGAATGTTAGAGGTGAAAAATGGATAGCACTATCACATTAGTTTTGTGGAAAGCCACATCTAACTCCAAGGGTTTGGTCTACTGGTGTACTAAGGGCCTTTTCTTCAGAACCCCATCCAAAAGACTGGTTTTCTTAACTTACTCTAGCATCCCCACAGCAGACAGTAAAAGCCTTACGTAAGCACCTAACACATTAAGGAAGGATCTTCCTGCCTTGCCATTCATTTTTAAATGTTATGTTATTGAATCCTGCCTGGGGAACAGGTTTTAATATGGAACATTCCCAAGACTTCTGACTCACTTAGCTGACCTGCACCCCTGAGCTGTTCTGCATATATCTTACATCTCCTCGTATGAAGGATATGGACTTTGCTAGAACGAAATCAGGACCCTTTCACAATTTTTGCACACAAGAAATGAAATTTGTCCAAAAAAACCACAAAGCACTGAGATTGGAAAATGAATCATATTAAGTAAAATAGTCCATCTTAAGCCAGACCACCAAGGCTGTTTATGCCATGAACATGAAAACAAACACACCACAGACAAACTCCTCTTTTCCACAGGAGTTGTGGCTGCATTTCCCAAGCCACTGCTTGCTGTGTGGTCAGTTTATCGTACCACCATTGCCTGCACCCAGCTTCTCACACAGTGGTTTCTGCAGTGCTCTCTACTGAACTGCCCTACAGCTTTACATGCACTGAGAAACCTGTCTGTGTGAGCAGGGCCTGTCACTATTGCATTTGGGAGGACCAAGGGAGCCAAGGAACAGAAACACAGAACACAGTTACAGTGACTGTGGTCATAACAGCTTAGAGCTAATGAATCCAGGTACTTCATGGCATCCTATAGACTCCTGCAGAGCTTCAATCAAGTGTAAAGAGAGGACCACATCAGGTAATCAGGTGAATAGAGACAAAGCTAAGGGGGAGTCAGGGATTTGTGAAGCATGATTTGAGAGGAAGCTATCTGTAGACATCCCATGAAATGCTACACACCAGGCATCTGTAGCCTCTTGATCTTATGAGAACCAAGGCTCTTGATTAAGTACTGTACAGGAAGTAACCTCTGGGCAGTCAGGAGTCAGTTTGCTGAGTCTTCCACTTTGGATGAATTCCTAGCTACAGGGGGCGCATCCTCACAGCATTTATGTAGCATCTCACTAGTGCAAACAGATACATAGGAAGAGTTCTTAGCATCTTACTTCTCAATGTGACTGTCTCAGTTGCACCTATGTTGCATGTTAGGCACAGAACTTTTATTTCTGATCTTACTTTTAATTCCTTGATATATGAACTGTCTTCCAGAACTGAGCCGAGACTTATCTCTGTCAGATCACTTGCTCATGTTTATGAAAATGTTCAGCATTGTCCTGTCAGGTACTTAAGGTAGGCATACACTGTAGTAACTCAGAAAGAAAGAGAGAAATGAGGCTGAAGGAAAGGGGCTCAAACTGTCATCACCAGTCCTGACTGCGGTTTCAGAATACTCTAAAGCCACACATCTTGCCTGCCTGGAAGAATAGCGACGAACAGACATTCACAGTAACCTTCTGTCCAGACAGAACCCCTTTAACAGGAAAGCTGACTCAGGAGAAGCAGAATTAAACTCTCTCCACAACTATTATTGTGCCTCACAGGCAGCAGAATACCAAAACCTGATCTGGGAATTCCTAACAGTTCCTGTAAAGAAGCTTTCTGATTTTATAGATATCACAGCAAACCGATACCATTTTGGGTCACTAATTTTCACCTGTAAACTTTTAACCTACATGACTTAATGCTCCAACCCATTTTGAAACGTGCACACTGTTCTTCAATATTACATATGTACTATCCAAATCACTGATCCTGCGTGTCAGTGGTGGGAGAGGATGTACAAAAGGATGCATACAAACACATTTGTTTGACAGAGTTATCAGATATTCAAATAAGCTCAGAGGAAAGAGAAGGCATGCTTCCCTTAAGTGACAGCTTATATAAGGAAATCACACGCTTAAAAATGGCCATTCAGTGAAATACTGAAATTACAAAACAAACAGAAAAGGATTTATGACATTTCTTATTCTTAAGAAAAAGTTGCTATCAAAGTTAGGTATCAAATTGATGATGGATATAACTAATTTCCCAAATATTTGGGAATATTTCTTCTGTGCCTTTTTATTTGGTATTGGGAAATTAAATCATTAGGTGAGTGCTACTCAGAACCTCTTTTATACATCATACAATACTCTCTAGTGGCCTTTTTATTAATGTATTGTAATTACTATTTCAAAAGGAACCTACGACATAAAAATCCCCACCTGTCAAACTCCCAACTCTTCAGTGCAAGAACAAGGACAGAAGAGCACCCAGGTCAGGATAAAAAGCTAGATAAATAGCTTTGTATTTCACAAAGGTTCTTGAGATATTGAAAATGTATAGTAAAGGAATATAAAAGAATTTCTTTCAGATATGTGCTGCTTAGTTTAATAACCTCTATAATGCTGGAAATACTTTTTTTCTCTTTCTTTATTAACTGAAGTATTGTTCTTTGTACTTTTTCTCTTTCCTAGACAAGTTTAAGATGAGAATTAACAGCTGAGGAAAATCTGCATATGAATGTATGGTAGGGTACTGCACTGGCTAAAACTTAGCAAGTAAATACCTTAGTATGGTATCCAAAATACACTGTTACCTTTTCAAGTTATTAAGTTTTGAATAAGATACATCAGACAGTCTTAAAACTGTAACATGAGTTGTATAAGCTGCCATTTGTTGTACCTTACCATAAATTCATATGTAGATTCTCCTCGTTGCTAATTTTTCATCTTAAACTTGTCTAGGGAAGAGAGGAAGAGGTACAAGGAACCATTCTCCTGTTAATACAGAGAGAGAGGAAAATAGTATTTCCAGCATTAACAGCACACTCAGCTGCTTAAGGGTATCTCTAGAAGTAGCTGAAAGATAAATCTTAATATTTTAACATATGTACCTATGTAAACAAATAAATTTATCTTTCGGTATTAAGAGCTCTATATTTGAACAAAACAGTACTTAGAAGCACACAATTCACTGGTCCTGAATGTATTTGAATTGGGATTTATTTGATTTTCTAGGCAATGTATTTGATTCACTGTTTTTTTATTTGATTTAGCAAATGGTAATTTGGATTCTGCATAGGAGATACATGGCACGGTAGGTGACATAGCTGATAAATAGGAAATTTAAGTGAATAAGAAATATATTTCATTTCACAGTTGACTTTCTATCTAAAAAACTCTCGTTCAAGGGGGAATAAAAAGTGCTTTAAGATGGCCTGTTGATTTCACCACGTGCTGTCCTTTCCAGACACTGTACGTAAATATTTTAATCACAAGATGTTTCCTCAGATTTCCTCTCCCTATTTCACTGTCTTATGCATTTGATACAAATTTCTGAACCAAGCGTCTTTTCCTCCCTGATTCTCCATCCTGATTTTCCTGAAGAGGAATCCCTCTTCTCAGCTTGCTCTCACTCTATGACCTCTTGACTCAGACTAGAGAGACTTTCCTGGACACCTGGACACTCTCCATCTCAGCCAAATGATTCAATGTGGAACAGAGTATGAATTGGGAATTTCTCACCAGCTACTTCTCACTACAAATCTTCTCCTTGAAACTAAATAGGCTTGTGCTCATTTCTCCCTTCTTCAAAGTTTAAACCTGGAGTTAGATGGACCTGCATCCCACCTTCATGAAAGGGAAGGAATTGGGGAACACAAAGGTAACTTCAGGAGACTGTTGCTTATCCTAAGACTTGGGTTGGTCTGCTGGGGCAGCTGTGCTGCCTAGGACTTCAGAGAGAGCCCTCAAGACTCTCCTTGAAGTCTTCAAGAAGAGAAAAGCTGGACAAACATAAGAGGAAAATGAAACCATCAGGGCAGAAAGTCTCATTTAAGAGACATCTCTGAAGAGACGTGGGGTCAAAGGGCACAAACACTCCAGCTGCAACAAAAGAAGCTCCAACATGGACTGGGAGGGCGCCTCTCCACAGGAACAGCAAGAGGATACAAGCTGATTTATAAGCCCAGAAGCAGCAGAAAACATAACAAAATACTTGGAAGTAAGCAACAGAGAAAGATTAAATGTTTCTTTTAACCTCTTCAAACTGTATTAACACAGCTGCTGTCAGGATTTATGCCACCCAAAGTGGACCAGGTCACTTCAAGCTATTTCATGAGCCAAAACCAAGGCTGACCAAATCATTTTAATAATATAAAAGAATTCATATTCTGATGATGTTAGATTTAATCTCTGAAGCAGGAAAAAGAAAGAAAGAAAGTATGTTTGAAAGAGCAAAGGCACTGTTTGACTCATACTGTTCTGGGAAACTTGAGGCAACCACTGGGGAGAGTGAAGAAGCAGTGGAGATGAGAAGTGAATACGGTTATTGTAGTACAGCACACCAAAGCTGTTTAAGAAGCCAAGTAAAAGCTACAGCAGAGGTGCGTGGAGGTTACAGCAGGAGCCTTGACCCTGGAAAATACATTTTCCATGAAACTCCAAGAGCAAATAGCATGAGTTGGAGAGCAAGCAAAACCCATGAGAAGAAGAAAATGAGCTCAAAATAAATGGAGATCTGGTCCTTTCAGGTCGGATGCTGTGTTTGTAATGCTTGCACTCCTATCTACCCTACCATTTCACAGAGGGACAAAAATGAACCATTTCGAGGGGCGATATGATTAAAAATCTGAAAAAATGCCTCAGATCCAGGTTTTCAAAGGTATTATACACAGAATAGGTACACTACAAAAAATTAGGAATTAGTGCTTTCATCTCTCCCTCTGAAATTCCTAAGTGCCATGTAGGTGATTTTCAAAGTCTCACTAAAAGCCCAACTACAGTTTTAAGTACTTAAGCACCTTGGAGGACATAGGCCAACATTTCTTAGGCTCTTTCCAAAATGAAATGTAATTTCTCATGTTTATGGATTAGCAGTTTTAATCCTTCCTGCACTGAAACAAAGACTTATAGTGTTAAACCCAAGATTTTAAATAGTATGTTCCAGCTGTAGGATTCTGCATAAACAAACAGAACCTTGAAGCAATACCAGTTGTTCTGAAATGCCTACCAGGAAATTAAGTGGACCTAAATAATACAGAAGAAACAAAAAAAAGATGCATTTATCCAGTTATATTTAATTATGTAAAATTATGCAAGGTGACATGGAATTCCAAAAATTCAGTTTTGGAATTCCGTGTTCATCACTGGACTATATGCACATCTTCTACATGAGGTGTGGATCTCCATTTTCATCTTTTTCTGATACATTTTTTCATAATGATGACTTTCAATAGCAGTTGACAGTTTTGAAGGTTAATAATGTTAGAGGAAGATATATCATGCACTATTTACATGAAGTCAGGCCTTTTAGGACCTTATTCCTTCATTTTCCCATACCAGTTCCTCCCTAAATAACCTGAACACCTCCCAGAGTTTCCTCCCCTAAACATACCATAATAAATCCTGCACAATCCCAAACTGCTTTTTCCCTGCATCCCATAATGCATCCCACAGCCCAGTGATGAGCCTGGCAGTAGCAGTCAGGGTATTACTTGGGCTCCCCCTCCTCCCAACATCTCTCTGAGCTCCTCAATGAGTGTGCAGAAGAGCTTCCATCATATAACCTAACAGCTGCTTTAAGTAAATCTATTCCTAATGTTAGATGCAATTATGTTTGACACACAGCTACAAAGATCCAGTAAATAAAGTCACATCTACATTGACTGCAAAATTACTTGTATATCTTTACTCTATTAACGTTCTAAAAAGTGCCTATACAGAGAAGTTTTTGAATTGTCACAAATATAAACTGATGTTATGTATGTTCACACATGCATGTTACTCTTGTATCACTGGAAGGCTTTATTACTGTGCTACCTTGACATTCATAGCAATGGCAGTGTGCTGTGGTGTACCTAAGCATTCAGGAATTCACATTTGGAATTGCCTTTCTCAGCACACTTTAAGAATGTGGCAGACAGGTGAACGTTTTCAGCTCAAAAGCCAGTCTTCTGTATTTCTGATTAATGAATTTTACTTTAGTGTTCACTCTATCTACCACCTAAAATTTAAACCTGTTACCCAAATCGGTAAAGCATTTCTAGTGTTCATTATTCAACTCACAAATGCTTTTTGCTTCCTTGCTAATTTTTCCCTGTCTTCTTTAGGTATATTAAGCACTTTGGAGATGTGCTCTAAAGGCTCTAGCATATGACAGAATTACTTTTCAGAGTTTATCTTTAAATTACCTTTTCTTGTACAATCAATATTAAAATTCCTCAGAGTTGCAAATGACAAATTAACAGCACGATGTATATTAAAACAACTTACGTGTTCAGCTTAGATCACCCAGGTCCTCTACAGACTGTATAGTCACATATCCACCTGCGTAAGTTTTCCATGAATTATTTCTGTGATGGGTCACTACTTTGGTTTCTAGGTTGTCCTGAGGCTTCCTCCGTATCCCATGCCCTGTTTAAAGAAGACATAAC